TATATATATATATATATATATATATATATAGGCCTATAAAATATGCCTTGTTAAATATTTTCTTTGTAAATTATATGTAAATAACATTTTCATGCTCTCTTTTTTTTTTTTTTCTAAAACACTTTTTACAGTAAAATGCTTTTCTTACATGGCAAGGTAACTAAACCCATTTTTAATTCTTAAAATGTCTACCTTGTAGATAATTTCTTCAAACAGATAAACTTGACCTCATAAGAACCACATACTGAATTTTCTGCATTTTCAGTTTGCAAGTGCACCTTACTGGCATCTTCAGTATGAAGATTTTCAAATTTCTTTCAAACCTCTGCAACCACACATCACCATGTTAAAATAATTCACTGGCACTAACGTTAGCCCACATTCCTCGAAAAACTACTTGGCTGCTTGCTTCCTTCCCCATGGCTGTCCATCAAGGGTCCCTGTGTGATGCCATTTGGTCAGGGCTTACCTATGCACTTGATCTCGAAGCCCCGCGGTGGTTTGAGGGCTCTCCGTGTCCATCCTTCCCTCAGGACCTCCAAATGATCCTCCTTGCCTTGAATGAGCAGAACATGTTCATCTATCCAGCCCAAGAAGAAGGTCTCCGATATGGCGTCCGTGACTTTCTTATTCCAGAAGTGCTGCATGTTCTCCGCTTTGAAGTCGGCGAATATCTCATAGCCGGTGTGATGGTGCTGAAGCCTCTCCGTGACCGCGGCTGCTTCCTCCACGCTGACCCGCGACAGCACTATGGCCAGGGAATGGGGCGCTATCTGCAGGAACTTCTCCATTCTCCGGCGCGTTTCACACACAGGCCACGGCGTGGATTGCGAGCCTGTCCGATGCTCCGCGGCACTCACACGGTGTTTTATTGCGCACCTTATTGAATTTCCAAAACGAACACATTGCACCGTATTTCAGTTTATATCCAGGAGCCGAAGCGCTGCGCGTGACGGCGGAGGGTCCACCAGCATGATACGCGAGAGAGACGCCAATGTCATTTATTCATCAAACAAACCCTTACAACGTCGCGTTCCGTACGGTGCGCCCATAGCCCGATGCCAGTGGGCAATATTAACCAGGCACTGCACTGATGGGTGAAGCAGCTGAGCTGAATGATCAATGGGTCTGTCTGTATTAATAGATCTCAGCCTGCCTCTTTCCACACCTCTCCCGCGACATTCTGCGCATACGGCCGAAAGCAAGCGAGACCGATTCCTCCACCATCGAGGCCTCTTGAGCGGTGGATTGATCGATCACTTCATTCATCGGTGATGTTTCCTGGCTATAAAGCGCAGGAGATGACTTCATCCCTTCTTATTCATGTCTTCATTAGTGCACTCCGTGGTTGCCTCCCAGTTGGTCTTGTACAATATAGGGTGTTCATATAGACCGTACGCTTTCTGATGTTATACTCGCAACCGTTAACTCGTCTCGGAAGCGTCGGGCTCTCATACCCTCGTCCCTGACGCCTTGCGCCTGGTGTCCGGTGCGGCGGCGGATTAGATTGGATGTCTCGACAGAGAGCGCGCGGTTCACCAGATGTTTTCCTGACTCCACCTACAGGCGGCCTTCAAAACATCGCGAGTATAGCGCACGAGCCTCGCAACAGGTGAACACGGGAAAAGCAGAGCGAGAGCTGGCACTCACAGATTAGTGCAATGCATTTTAACACTTTTCACGAAAGGGTGGACTTAAAAGAGGCGATGAGAGGTCAGGCTATGTCTGTGTCCTATGTTTTACTTTATTTAACCGGCTCATTCCTTGTATCCGGTGCTTTTAGCTCTTGATGCAATCTGTCATAATGTTGCATTTCAACCGAGTAAAATTATAATAGGCTGATTAAAAAGAGAAAATACGTTTTTTACTATATTACACACAATGCTTTGGGTCCAAAACAAAAGTATTATAGGCCTACCTATTATATCTTTAATCATTTAAATTTATTGGGCTATGTTTTTTTGTTATTATGCACACTAAGTTATTAATCAGTAGTTTAATAATATCATGGTTAAATGTCTGTCCTTCAAGAAAACCACTCATGTAGGCCTGCAGCATGCATCTTAACAGTAAACAAAGAAATGTACAGAGAAATCATGAGCAATGTACACTTGCTTAGTGAAATATATAATTATTGTTTAAAAGGTTATCAGGAATATGTATCAAATAATATCCAGAGGTATTCATATATTCATGGAATTCTATTAGGCTAAATGTATTTGTCCATAACAGTGTAGATATTTTGTTAGTTAGTCAGTGGTTATACAAAATATTTAGGTTTTAGGCCATTAAGCTTGATGATATGGACATTTTTTATGATTAAACGTAAATACAGGTAAAAAAAAAAAATTCTCACATTTTAAAGCTCAAAAGGCTCTGAATTGTAGAATCTCCCCAACCACAACTATGGTAGTGGGGATATCAATTTTATTTACACAGACATTAATTATCTTAGTCAACGTAATTAATTTTATAGCTGAAATGGGTAATTAAATTAAATGCTTCATTGAGAAAGTAAAAAACTGTGGAAGTTGTGTATTTCTTCTATATCATCATTAGTTCCTCTTTTTTTTTAGGTAGGCAGTGCGAGATAGTGGATTGTTATCTAAAAAGAATTTGGCCTTGTTTGCATTTGTGTGAGGTCCTTTTCTCTAAGGCCTTGATCAAATAACTTCTACACAGAGAGCAAGGGCACCCGAGCTTTGGTGTCAGCTTTCGGTTCCCAGGGTGTTTCCTCTTGTTTAGTGATCGGAGTATCACTAGAAAGAACGAGACTGAATCTTTTATAATCCTGACCCAGGGTTGCAATTGTTTGGATAAAAAGGTTTTTCTTCACGCTCCCACAAACCCAGGTAACCGCAGTATTGAAGACAATAGAAATGAATTGCATTTCACACTAGATACTTGAGTAGATACTTATTAACTGACAGCTGAATTCTTACATCATTTGAAATGCTAACCTAACAAATCCTGGGTTATAGAGTAATCCTGATTACTGTGTAACCCAGAATAAATATATATTAACAACTAATGATCAAAATGCTTAAATGAGCTGGTGACCTAACAGCCTAATGTTTTGTAGTACTATATACGTAGGCTGCATTTTTTTCACAAAATGTGATTTCTTCCAGCAGATATTACTGTACAATTACCTGTAAGCACCCTTTTTTTGAACTTCAAAAAAGTTAAATCTGAACTCTGAAGCAAAACCAGCTGAGAACCACTTATGCCTTTATGGTGACATCTGCTGGCAAGCAATAATTATTTATTTATATATTGCCAAAGAACAGAATTTGATGTGGTCAATGATTTGCTACCATGTGTTTTCTGGGCAGTTTCATAACACAAGGGTGTGCTTCTAAATTCTGATTGGTCTGTATATGTCTGACCGCTGAATATATGTCTTTTTGCAATTTTTCATTCATAGATTGAATCAGGCCCCAACCATTCAAGTAGAGATATTTCTACTAACACCTCATGATAAAGCTGTAAAATATCAAACAGTTAAGCTTTAAACTTACCTCAACACATCAAAAGACTTTTTTCTTTAATTTTTTTTAATGTTATTAATATTTTTATTATTATTAATTAATTAATTGGGCTTTCACAGAGTGAAATATAAAGTGCACAAAGAATGAGAATCAAATTCTATTGGAAATTCTACTCTGTTCTAGCATAATCAAAATACTATTGTCTCTTATACACAAAAGCTTGGACGCTTTATTAGTACCATTTTCCACATTTAAGAATATTACAAACAAAACAATGAAATAACACAAATAAAATGTTAAATTAAAACTTGTCTTTTACAGGCTATCTGCAGGATTTTAAAACTTAAATGTAAGACTTTTTAAGGCCTGCACAAATAAAATTAATACCATGTGAGTGAGGTAGGGCAATGTCTATAGTAACATATTAAATATCTAATGGTAACAAATTCAACTGTAAAATGACTGTAAAAAATGTTAAATTTTTTACAGTTCAGATGTTTTCACAAAAACAAAGTTTTATAAAAATGATAAACTTCACATTCAGCCTTTAAACCATTTTAATCCAAATTAATCAAAAGTATCATTATATTAATTTGAACAATTATTATCAATAAATTATATAATGAAATAACAAAAATATATTTTACTGTGTTAATTGTTTAGATTTTTATAATGCATTGTCTTCTTATCGATCCACCAGTTCACATTTACAACTGCGCTGCGTGTTTGCAGCATAAAAACATGGGTTGATTTTCACATTGGTCTGAACTAAAACAGCGACGGGTTCATTGAAAATGCACATTCATTCTCCGCCAGCAGGAGGTGCTTTCGGAACAGCAGAAATATAGTGGTTTCCCCGGTAACTGCAGAACACAAAGCAGAGCAGTGCCTGATTTTGAAACATGCAGTGCTCATATTTTATTATACCATATAGCAATTCTTGTCTTTCCGTCCCCAAATTTAAGACCTTTTGAAATCATGATTAAGACTTTCTTGTACCAGTGTACCAGATTTTGTAATGCCTTAAATTGGATCCAACTAAATGTAAGACTTTTTAAAGACCCGTGGAAACCCTGCTTTTACCTTCTTCAAATCATGTATGCTGCACATTTGGTAGCTGCTTTTCCTTCACTATTCAATAAAAAAAGAGGGACAAAAAGAAAGAAAAACTTTTGGATTTGTAAAGAAATTCATGCATAGGCATGATTTATTACTTCAAGAACAAGCCTTTATATCCAAAGATTTTTAAAAGGAGAAACAAATTCAGTCAAGTGTGTCCAAGCTTTTGCCTGGCAGTGTAGCTTCTTTCTCATCAAGAATTTTTTTAAATTCAGAAAAAAAAAAAAAAAAAAAAAAAAACCACACATATATATATATCCATGTGACACAACAACAAGCAGATTAGAGACGTAACAAGCACTGATTTATTTAAATATATGAAACTTAAAAGAATAATAAAAAAAAAAAAAACATCACTCCAAAACAGTAACAAAGAAAATGAATTTGTTTTCTCACTGGAAGACATTTCAGAGGTGTTTTTTCATATATATATATATATATTTTTTTTTTGTTGAAAGAACAAGAAATGCAAATAAAAGGTGTTGACAATGTTCATCAAACCCCGTGCATTTTAATCACTTTCCCCTTTTTTTAACACCACGTATTACTCCAGACCAGGTGACCTCCAACATATATAAACACTTGAGGCTTACTGAAATCAACAATTAAAAGGGAAAAAAAGCTTAGAAAATAACTCTTCATTGTATTATTGACATTAGTGGCAGTACATTAAACATCTGTGTTTCCATGGTTAATTACGTCTGTTGGTCGTTTCCATCCTAATGCAAAAGCAACAAGAGCACCTGTTTGGAAACTTTTCAGCTAAGTGCATGAGGAGAACCTTTTAACAGAAGTTAAACACAAACATTTTTTTTTTTTAAATTGCCAATCCCCACACAGGCATATTTTCACTTAAACAATCTAGCACATCTCCTGTAAGGCACTACCTGGACCGTCTATCCTTCTTGGCCCTATCTGCACTTTTTTCCATAGTCTTTTCACTGTCACCCCTGCATTTGGGGCAATACCATTTACCCTTGGGCTTGTAGGTCAGTCCAACACAGGAAAAATGGAACCACTCAATAGGACATTGCTCATTGTCGCAGCCAATCATCTCCCCATAGGACACCTGTTCACAGAGGCAGTAGGTGGGCTCATTGGGATCGATGGTGAACTCCACTGGCGATGCTTCTCGCTCTTGCTTTGCCTTGGAGCGCTTCTTCTTCTTAGCCGACTTGGACTTTTTCTCACGGGGCTGCGGCGGAGGCTCTTCGCCAAGATCTTCCAGGGCACCGTTGGAACAAGTGTCACGGCTCTCACTGTTGCGTTGACGCCTGGGTCGCTGCGTCGAAGAGCGTTCAGGCATAACGTTTGTGGAGGTGCTCGCAGGGTCGTGCCTCACCTTCTCCACCGGTCGCTCTGCGTCTCCCGGCTCCAAGAAACAAGGCGAGTGGGCCTCGATCTGACGAGAGCGGTTTTCCACCACCTCCATCATCTGTGTGACCACATGGATTTTCTCATCTCCCAGCTCCTGACTGCTGATGAGCGCCCGCTGCAATTGAATCTGCAGTCGCTTGCGCTGCCCACTGTCAGTCTCCTTTTTGTACTTTTCATAGATCTCATCCACCTCCTTGAGGACCTCTGAGTGGCACAGAAAACAGAGAAAGTGAGGTGGTGACAAATACTTTCAATCAAAATATTAGAAAATGAAGGGAGGCAGCTTGTGCACGCCCAATACATTTTACAAAGCCACATGTTAACATACTACAGTCGATTGTTTGCTGTTCGCAATGCATGCCAGGGTTGCTCTAGTGCTACCCCTGCCGCTGTGTAACAAAAACATACGAGCAGCCTACCTGCCCAAGCGTACATGCTCCTCGGTATGTATTATAAAAAATATGAGGAACTAACAACGTGAATGAATCATTTTCGTTACATATAAATCATTTTGCACGGTAACCTTCATTTGCGAACTGTTAAGTCAAACTCGAAGGCGTCGACATCGAGCTGTGGTTGTTTCGGCTACATGCGAACAAAACACGCCGACTGAAAGCACCATTACGTCGATACTATGGCAACTAACGCGATGCGTTAAAAGAGCACAGCCAAACAACAGTACAGAGTATGCACTAGTCAAAATGGCTGATCACTGGTGATTGGATAGTGTTGCTGGAACATACACAGCTGAATATGCTAAAGACCAAATACAACTAAAACGCAACGGGCGTGGACAGCTTTGGAAGCACTGATAAATGTTTAATAAAAATGTGTTCTATGTTATTGTGAGGAATCGAAACGAAGCCGGTCTACAGGGCGAAGTACACACGATGTAAACGAACGTAAATATGCATCATATCGCGCTGGCACCTTTCACAAATGTTTCGCTTACCTTGATACTTGGTGTCAATCTCTCGTAACAACGAAACATTCCTCTGTATATCCAAAGGCAGCGATTCGACACATTCCAAATAATCCTCCACGTAGTTGACAAGCTGCGATTTTTCCACGTTTGGATAATGCCCTAACATGATGATAGTAATGCATCAAGCAGCTATGCGCCTTTTCGAGAAGAACTGCGGCTTAAAAAGAGGTGCTTTTCACTCATAGGTTCCTTTAAAATATGATGCTAGTTGGCAACCTTGTGGAGAGCCACTCTTTCCGGACAAATTCAGTCGAGTCTTCTCTGGCTACGAGAACTCCTTCAAACAAAACTATCAAATGTGCGCATGCGTGGGATCAACCCATAAAATGCCGCGTTTTGCATTTTCAGACGGTTTAGCAAATGGGGGGTGGCGTTGCTGAGACGTGGGCGGATCGCAGGATCAGCTGGGCGCGTCCAGAGTACGTATGGAACCGGAGGTTCGATTCATTAAAAGCGAGATCGAACCATAAGACCACAGTATGTATAGACGGCAGCACCATGTTAGCTGTATATCGTTGATAATGACATGAGGTAATGGGGGGGTGGGGGAATCATCAATGTAATAGAGAGCTATAAATTAATAGTGGCTAGGGGCGAAATTGCCACTGATAGTGACAAAAATGCCCCGAAACTCAAAGTTCGACTATTTCAGATTTTAACAATACTTTATTTGAGTTCTCAAAAGCTGACATAGAGCAACAGTATTTAAACACAGACACATAAATAAATATACATGTAAATATAACAGACAGAGCAGTATAATAAAAATATAAATATAATAAAAAACAGAAGGGCAGTCAGTAAGATATTTTAAACAATTAAACGATTAAAACGTCCCTGTAATCAATTCCTCGTAATAAATTTGTATCCTGTTTCCTAATATTTTATTCTAGGCCTAGTCATCTATGAGGCAAATGTAATTTGGTAGGTAGCCTACAGCCCACTTATAAATTATTTTAATCAAATAGCCTAACGAATTTTGCCATCAGTGATAAATAATCTATTTTAGAATGGTAAGAATGAAATCCCCCTGAAAAATCAGCTCTAGAGAACACACAGGCTACTCATTATTGAAGTTAACTTGTTGACACAAGTGACACTTTCAACGTGTTCATAAACAACAATTTACAAATCAGGAGGCAACAGTTTCCCACATTTCCACCACGCCGACGAAACACTGCGAATGCTGAGAAGGAGCCCCGTTCTGTAGCAGCACGTGTGTGCTTCACTTGAATATCTGTGATATTGACAAATCTGGATTGCAAGCGATGTGCTCTGTCACACAGGACGTCTTAGCATTAAACACGTTACGCAAGCCACCGCCCAACGCAGAACATCTCTGTCCAACGTCCGGGGACTTTTCCCTCAGCAATGATGGTGTAACGAGGTTCCCTGTACGTAGCTTAGATTACACGTTTTCAGACATGCGAATTATGTTTAATACCGGCTCAGGATATATATACAGCTAAATTCAGCGAACCGCTTGCATGACGGTAGTACTGCGATTTTACTGCGTTACATTTATTTCAACGGAGTCTTTTACAGAAGAGTGTGATATACCACTACAAAGACATACAATATATTGCGAAGGACTTACATTATGATATATTGAAACACTTGGTTTCCAAAGTGAAGACTGACATGTAAATGAACTACATACGTCACGATGACACGCCAAGCTAAACAGAAATGCCTAAACAAGTAAAATGAACAACAAAAAACCTCGACGACAGTATCTTAAATACCTCATTACTCGTTTGTTCTTCTTCATACAAAAACAATGAATCCGTTAAAAAAAAAAAGTTAGGTTGAGGATTTTTGTTGTTAATTAAAGGGGTCATATGACGTTGCTAAAAAAGAAAATTATTTTGTGTATTTGGTGTAATGAAATGTGTTTATGCAGTTTAAGGTAAAAAAAAACACATTATTTTCCACATGCTGTATATTATTGTTTCTCCTCTATGCCCCGCCTTTCTGAAACGCGTCGATTTTTACAAAGCTCATCGGTCTGAGAAGCGAGGTGTGCTGTGATTGGCCAGCTATCCAGTGCGTTGTGATTGGCCGAATACCTCAAGCGTGTGACTGAAATGTTACGCCCCTTACCATATTGTGATGCCGTGTCCCGGCCGGAGCGAAGAGACAAAAACATTAAAACCCATTATAAACGAGGCATTTGTTGCATCCAGTGGGGACATAATTACGGATTATCATGAATTATACTGTCTTTTTACTCGTTGCGTTGCATCGCGCCGCGTAAACATAAAACCATGTCTGCATTTGTGATCGGAGAAATGACAAACAACAAGTGCTACTCTACACTGCTCAGAACTCGCGGTTGAATCGTAAGTGGCAAATTCTTTAAATATAAAAAACATACTTACAGTCTGTGAGTCAGAACAGCCAGCGTTGTAGTACTCTCCCAGGATCAGGAAACGTCCTCCATAAAATGTGCTGGACACATCTGAATATTTGGGTTGAACTGTTCTGGAACAGTGTTGTAATGCATATGTATTTTCAGGGCTTTTAGGGGCTGAAATTCAGCATGCTTGTATATTTACACTGCGAATATTTCAATTTAAAATATTTCGCACACATTTTCATAATTAAAAATTCTGTAATCCATATTCACCTTCCAAAGTTCAAATCCGAAATATACATTCTGTTTAAAAATACGACCTATAATATTCGACAGGCAATTTTCGGTCTATTTAATTTCGCTTTACAAATTGGCTTCCACAAATTCAGTGGTTCAAATTGTGTTAAATTTCAAATATTCAATATTCAAGTTAAAAAAATCGAATTCAAAACTATGTTAAATGCCACATAATATTCAGTTTTGTTTCATCCTCTTTTGGAAGGCCAAACAAAGTAGTTTATGTGGGGGCGCGTTAGAACGAGTCGTTTTAGGTAGGCGTGGCTGACTCTTAACTTTTATAAAGAATATCTCTTTGGATTTGAGACTTTAGTCTTTGCAACTTTACAAATCTTCTTTATGCACCAAGAGCTTGTAACACTCCAAAGAGAAAGGAAAAATTGAAATCGCATCATATGACCCCTTTAAAGATCTGTTAAGCATTTATGTATTTATAATGTGAATTTATTTGTTAATGTTATATGAAAGTTGTTATAAAGTGTTAATATTTCATTTGTGAGACAATTAATATATTGGTAAGATGTCACTTGCACTTTTGACACTTGCACACTAAAGTCATTTTTCACTTGCAAATGAGAGTGAAATGCTTGCACTGTAGAGCCCTGCCAAACATCAGAAAAGTATCACTTCATAATTTATAGCTAGCGTACTTGCAGTAATATGAGTAGGCGCTAATAAGAGGATGTCATATTTAACTTATATTCATATTAATTTTGGTTGATGTCATTCCTCTTTAGACCAGATTTCCAGTGTCCAAGGCCTCCTCCAAGATGCGGCCTGCACTGAGCCTGCCTCTGATGTGGATGGGGCGAAAGGAGGAAGAAAGAAGGAGAAATGTGAAAAGAAAAAGTCGATTTGGAAGGTACTTTTTGGTCGTATGAGACCTAGTAAAAAAAGTCCTTCAAACTCCAGCCTACACTGTGGCCTACCAGAATGTTGACGCCCTCCAAGCTCCAGCCCACACCGTCAACAACCAGAGTAATGAAGCCCTCCAAGCTCCAGTCCATGCTGAGTCCGACTGTTGTGTTGACGACAAACAAGCTCCAGTCCGCTCTGAGTCTGACTTGAGTGTTGATGCCCAACAAGCTCCAGTCCGCTCTGAGTCCGATTGGAGTTTTGATGCCCTCCAAGCTCCAGTTCGCTCTGAGTCCAATTGGAGTTTTGATGCCCTCCAAGCTCCAGTCCGCTCTGAGTCCGACTGGAGTTTTGATGCCCTCCAAGCTCCAGTTCGCTCTGAGTCCGATTGGAGTTTTGATGCCCTCCAAGCTCCAGTCCGCTCTGAGTCCGACTGGAGTTTTGATGCCCTCCAAGCTCCAGTTCGCTCTGAGTCCGATTGGAGTTTTGATGCCCTCCAAGCTCCAGTCCGCTCTGAGTCCGACTGGAGTTTTGATGCCCCCCAAGCTCCAGTCCGCTCTGAGTCTGATTGGAGTGTTGATGCCCAACAAGCTCCAGTCCGCTCTGAGTCCGACTGGAATATTGATGCACACCAAGCACCAGTCCACGGCAAGTCTGACTGGAGTGTTGATGCCCAACAAGCTCCAGTCCGCTCTGAGCCCGACTGGAGTTTTGATGCCCTCCAAGCTCCAGTCTACTCTGAGTCCGACTGGAATATTGATGCACACCAAGCACCAGTCCATGCCAAGTCTGACTGGAGTCTTGATGCCCTCCAAGCTCCAGTCTGCTCTGAGTCCAACTGAAGTGTTGATGCCCAACCAGCTCCAGTCTGCTCTGAGTCCGACTGCAATATTGATACACACCAAGCACCAGTCTACGCCAAGTCTGACTGGAGTGTTGATGCCCAACAAGCACCAGTCCGCGCCGAGTCTGACTGGAGTCTTGATGCCCTCCAAACTCCAGTCCACTCTGAGTCCGACTGGAATATTGATGCAGACCAAGCACCAGTCCACGCCAAGTCTGACTAGAGTCTTGATGCCCTCCAAGCTCCAGTCCGCTCTGGGTCCAACTGGAGTGTTGATGCCCTCCAAGCTCCAGTCCACTCTGAGTCCGACTGGAATATTGATGCACACCAAGCACCAGTCCACGCCAAGTCTAACTGGAGTCTTGATGCCCTCCAAGCTCCAGTCCGCTCTGAGTCCAACTGGAGTGTTGATGCCCAACCAGCTCCAGTCTGCTCTGAGTCCGACTGGAATATTGATACACACCAAGCACCAGTCCACGCCAAGTCTGACTGGAGTGTTGATGCCCAACAAGTTCCAGTCCAGGTCGAGTCCAACTGGAGTGTTGATGCACTCCAAGCTCCAGTCCGCCCTGAGTCCGACTGGAGTGTTGATGCCCAACAAGCTCTGGTCCGTGTCGAGCCCGACTGGAGTTTTGATGCCTTCCAAGGTCCAGTACGTGCTGTTTCTGACTGGAGTGTGAACGTCCTACAAACTCCAGGCCACACCAAGTCTTTATTTGATCCTTGCTCAGGTATGAATCAGTCTTTCATTTGCACTTTGGAAATGTATACTTAATATAGAATTTTTTTTTATGTGCACTTAATGGGTAATTGTTGAATAAGAATTTGAAGTTCTTATGAAAAAAAAAAACTAATATTTTGATCATTTTGTTTTACTTTTAACTAAAATATCCAAATGAATTTTAATTAATTTGACCTCATAAAACTGCATGTGTAAATTATATAAGATGAAAGAAAATTGTTTAACATAGTTTTATGTTAAATAAATATAAACTCTGTAGGACATGTCACTGCTTGATTTTTAATGTAAAATACTCTTATTTATCTTTTATAGACATCTTTTCCTGCTATGAAGTCGGCAATATGCTGAGGTCAATTTGGAGCCATCTACGAAGGGAGGCGTGTGAAGGATGGCCTTTGGGTATCATGTTTTATTTAATTATTTTTTACTTAGCCAGAAATTTCTTATCTTCATCCTTTTGCATTTGGTGCAAGTCCTTCTAGTGTATCTTATGTTTTTTAATTTTTGCTTGGAATTTATATTCACAAAACTTTACATATCTGTTCAGGAATAATGATTGCAATGATATGACCTCTACACATGTTAATTATAAATATTTATCATACAAATTCTTCTTCTTTCTTTTGTTGATCAGGTGGCAGTGAAATTCGTCAAGAAAACAGAGGATAGGCAATACTACATCAACTTTGTAAGCAGACTGTGCTTTCTGTATTTTTTCCCTTGAGTCACTGTTTTCAGCATTTGGGTATCCACCTCCGTCTAACCATCATAAAACTTGTTTTTATTTCAGCCTGAACCTCTTCCACTGGAGGTCGCTCTTTTAATCCTCGTAAATGAAGGCCCCAGAGTTCCCCAGATAATCCAGCTGCTGGACTGGAAGGATGTTGGTGAATACTGTATCATGATTCTGGAGCGGCCTATTCCTTGCGAGGACTTGTTTGATTTTGTGCAGCACCATGGAGGCAGAATCGACGAGGAGTTGGCTCGGGTTGTCATGCGGCAGGCAACACAAGCCGCTTACATGAGCTGCCAACGTGGAGTGCTGCACCGGGACATCAAAAAGGAAAACCTTTTGATCAACAAGGACACCCTAGAAGTCAAACTAATTGACTTTGGGTGCGGCGACCTCCTTCAAAGTGCACCCTATACTACATTCATGGGTATGTATTGAAGCCATAAAATAGGAATCACTGAAGTATCATGCTAATGGGCACCTAGACAAAATGCTGTGGTAATGTAATGCACATAACACAAAATCTCTTTTTCTGACAGGTACACAAATGTACTGTCCACCCGAATTCCTATCAGAGGGCAAGTACCACGGGGAGCCAGCGACAGTATATTCATTGGGAGTGCTCTTGTTCTCGCTGGTATGCGGGACATTTCCAGACAGCGTCGACCTGATTATGATCAATCTGAACCGTTGGTTTATAGCTGGCTTGTTACTAGGTAAGATCTTAATGACAGCAAAGAAAGCCGATTGTAATTCTAAATTATACAAAAGAGAAGAACGAAACACGATACAAAAGAAAAATTGTAATTAATGCAGGATTTTTTTTTCAGATTTCTAACCTCCAGTCCTGTCTAGTCGTACAGTTTAGAATAATAGAGGTATGAAGATAAAAGTAATAATCAGTTGTCTCTCTTATCTTTTTGCAGAGTGCTGCCAATTGATCTGCTCTTGCCTGCAGCGTGAGCCAACAGAGCGACTCGATTTGGGCAAGATTCTGCACCATGAATGGTTTAAGGTACTGAACTAAAAAAAAATTCTAAAGTTTCAAAAAGAGATTATTATAAATTATAAAGATTCTGAAAGCCTTTTGTGGGTTATGTAGCCAATCCTTGTACATATATAGATGATAAGTTGTAACACAGTAGGAAGACAGTCCAGTTTCCAAATCAAAAAATGACACAAAAAAATAATAAACCTGATTTTTGGTTTTATTTCAGGGCACAGATATGGAGAAATTCGGCAAATAGTGGCCATGCTCCCTGTCACAACCAGCCCCAGTGTTGTTATGTACTGACAGCTCATCATGACCCAGAGCTCCATTTCCATCCTTGCAAACTCAGTGAAAAAGTATATATGTAAATGTATAGGACCTTAATGATGTTATAAATAACCTTTTTAATTACATGTTTGTTTTCATTAATATTTATATATTAGTGTATTTATATTATTAGTAGCAGTATTAATAATACTGTATTTGTATATTATTGATTAATATTGTGTTTTTTTGCCTGGTCTTATAATCTTGTAGCCTCTGTTAGGGTATTAAATTTAAAAAATGACAAAAAATGACAGTGCTCTAACAACAGTTATTAGCTGAATACATTAATTAGTGAAAATTTACACTGAACATAAATAAATACATGAAGTAAAACAACATCAAAACCATTATTTGTATATTTTGATGTAATTGAGTGTCAGTTTCTCAGATTGTAGGACATGACAGTATCTGAAATACACAATTGAGTTTAGAGTTAGGGTATATCTCTTTCATTTTCCAAAAGATCTCTTTTACAGTAGTGAAATAAAAGCTAACTTTCTTAAAGCTTATTGTTGAATTTCAATGTATCTGCTCCCCTCTATTAATGCTGTATACTGTGATAGACATTGGTTGTTACAGTAAAATATATATGTACATATAAAAGTGTTACATTTATAATTACTATTTCCTGTGTCCAGTTCACTCCTGCATTTGAAGATGAAACGTCACATGGAGCACGTTGCATTGTGGGAAACAGTATCCCATGCAGAGTCCTCAGATACATACATTTCAGCAAATGTAGTAGGTAATCCGGGAATTCCATGCATACAGAAAATTCACGTACTATTCACAGTATACACATTGCATACTGCAATACCATAGGAGTTGTATGGTAGTATGCCATTCAGAACAAAGCTTCTGTACTGATTTCAGGGTACCTGAGTTATATTTAGCAGATTCTGGCAATTATAGTATAGGTCATCCGGTTATTCCATGCATGCAGAAATTTAGCATACTATGAACAGTATACATACTGGATACAGCAGAAATAGTAAGAGTAGTATGATATGGGATTTCGAACACAGCAGCAGACTTGCAAAATTATTCCTGATTGCCAGTGTTCTCTAGGCAGTGGAAGTAGAAAATCAGACCAGTTTAGTACAATTTAGTACAAAAACAAAGAAAAAAAATACTCTCCTTATAAAAATCACAAAACACACAATCTTAAATCTTTTTATAACCGATTTGATGTGAAGTACTGATGTGGGAAAATGCCTTGTGACAAAAGAAATGGAAATAAAATCCAACCGTACCATGGTCAATAATTCCACTTATAAACCACAACCCACTGTAAACGTGATACTGTTAGACAAGAAAAACAAGGAATATGCTAAAATAATGCACAAGTACAGGTGCATCTCAATATATTAGAATGTCATGGAAAAGTTCATTTATTTCAGTAATTCAACTCAAATTGTGAAACTCATGTATTAATTAAATTCAATGCACACAGACTGAAGTAGTTTAAGTCTTTGGTTCTTTTAATTGTGATGATTTTGGCTCACATTTAACAAAAACCCACCAATTCACTATCTCAACAAATTAGAATACTTCATAAGACCAATAAAAAAAACATTTTTAGTGAATTGTTGGCCTGAATTTATTTAATACACGAGTTTCACAATTTGAGTTTTGAAATTACTGAAATAAATGAACTTTTCCACAACAGTCTAATTTATTGAGATGCACCTGTATATTCAAAACAATTGTTATTTATTTTAATGTATATTCAGGTGCGTCGAAAATACAGAAAACAAAGTAGGTGTGGTATTCACGGTACCAGATTTAAATGTCAGAATTAATCAAATATTTTTAGACAATCTATCAGTATACACTATAGAGAAAACATGGCAATCCTAATAGCGTTACAGTGGGTTAAGGAAAATAAACCACTGAGGACACATATGTTTTGACTCAAGTTCAACTTTTGAGGACATTAGAAACAGGTCACATGAAAAGCAAAGCTGATGTGCTGATAGAGATCCTTCAGACAATGTACAGGATTCAGATGATGGGTTTAAAGGTACCTTTCTGTTGGGTACCAGCTAATAGGTGTAAAAGGAAACAAGTTGGCAGATAATTGTGCAAAGGAAGACACAAAAAATCAAACATAGACATGAAAGTAAAATATAGAAAGACTGAAATGAAGCTTTGAATTAAACAACATGTGGAGAAATGACAAAACAAAGTTGAAGGATGAAAACCAGAAGACGGTTTTATAACAATCAAAGAAATGTTGGTAAAGGTAGAATAACAAAGAAAAATAGAAATGAAAAAATAATAATTCACATGATAAATGGTTTAATTTTTAAATGCAATATCTGAAAAAGACATGGGTATTTTAGGAGATAACGCCAATATGTTCGTACAATCTTAACCCACACCAGCAGGTGGCGGTAATGCACCTTAAAGTTGTATGCCACCCACCCAAAGAAAATCAAGAAGAAGAAGCAATAGCAGGCTAGTGATGTTCAGCGCTGTTTAATGTAACCCCCGTCATTCTGAAGCGCTGCTGCAGCGCCATCTGGACTCAACGGAGCGACACTATTCTACATCTTCCAGAAGAATGGAGGAAATTGACATAAAGCTCAGAGCTGATGGCATTCAGAAAAAAGTCATCTCTCCTGGAAAAGGAGAACTTTCAACGTTTCCCGATGGAACAAAGGTAGTGTAACGTACAGGATACATTTTACAGTAATGAAATGTCGAGACGACCAACAAATGTGTTATTTAACGTGGCGAACTCTAAAGATAGGGAGCTAGCTGGATTCGCCACTTTTGACGCATAATATGGGCTTAATTTCGACTGAAAATAGGCCAAAAGTCGTACAGTGTACTGCGTTATGCATATATCGCAATGCGAATAGAAGAATTTCAACTGGTGTATGTCTTGTTTTTACAAGGGAGGCGCCAGGCATTCAGATTTAGCCGTTAGCTAAGCATCGGGATGGATAACGTTAATTTACCTGATGCTATAGGCTATGAAGGCGGTCTCACAAACAGGATGGACTGTCTGTTTGCATTTTTGGCACTGAGAGGAGAAAAAAAGGTTAATCTCTTCTGAGTGACAGCTGAAAGCTACGTACCCCATAACAGCAACATCATATAGGCGCTGGCTTCATTATAAGCAACATGTTTTCTCTCTGTGCCTTGTGGTGCTTGAGGCGAAGCCAAGGGAGCAGATACTGTATAGTAGTAGTAAAATCTTATTGATTTATTTAACCTTCGATTAAAATGTGAATCGAATAAAGAATTAGCATTGCTGGGCAATACTAAATGTAAACAAACTGTTCTTGCACTGAGAGCCTGTTGGGCTCCAAATGTAGAGAATTTTAATCAAACAAAATGTCATAATGCAACAAATATCAGGTATAAATTAAATGCTTTATAATAAATAGTCACGTGAATGATTTTGTATTTTTCTCTCTTGAAAGGTGAAGTTTCATTACCACACTAGCCTTTGCGATGGCACCGTGTTGGATGACTCCAGGACAATGGGAGGTCAGAGTAAACCTATGGAGCTCATACTGGGGAAGAAGTTCAAGCTTCCTGTATGGGAGCAAGTGGTTACCACTATGAGAGAGGGTGAAATTGCTGAGTTCACCTGTGATGTCATGGTCAGTGACCTGTCTGTCAGTTAATTTCTCTCTGCCTGCTAATATGTACCTGTCTACATATTTGTAATATTGCATACATGTAAATATTATATGTAAATAAATACAAATAATAATACTTTTTTTATTCGTTCTGATAGTACTTATTTTTTTGTTTTTAATACTCTAATAGCACACAGCTCTCTACCCTCTGGTTTCTCGGTCACTACGCAACATCAGCCATGGAAAAGACCCACTGGAAGGACAGAGACACTGCTGTGGAATAGCGCAGGTTCACTCGCATCATTCTATGGGTCACTCCGATCTGGATAAGTTGCAGGCTAATCCTCAGCCTCTAGTTTTTACTCTGGAAATGCTAGAGGTGAGAAACAGTAGCATGATCTCATTTTAAGAGGTGCAGTTTTACATAAAAGTGGACAGAGAGCTCAGACAACCACATGAACAGCATCATAACTAAAATTCCTGTCCGTTCCAAAAGCATTTTAAGGTGTTAAAGGGATAGTTCACCCAAGAATGAAAATTCTATCATTTACTCACCCTCTACTTGTTCCAAACCTGTATGAGTTTCAGTTTTCTGCTCAAGGTGTTTTGAAGAATGTTGGTAACCAAAAAGTTGATGGTAGCCATCGACTTTCATAATATTTTTCTCCATGCTATGGAAGTCAATGGTTACCGTCAACTGTTTGGTTACCAACATTCTTCAAAATATCTTGTGTTCAACAGCTGAAAGAGAATCATACATATCATCTTGGGGGAACTATTCCTCCAATTGAACTAAATATAATATGCATTTCTACTAATTTAAGAAAAAATATATACCTAAATTACAAAATAGCTGTTGGTAATTCCCACTTGCTGATTCATGATTCTGATTCTCATCTTCCCAAGATCTTGCCCCCTGGATCCTTCCAATTGGAAATTTGGGCAATGACAGATGAGGAGAAAATGCAGGCCATACCACATATCCATGAGGATGGAAATGCGCTCTTCAAGAGTGGAGATATTACAGCAGCTGCTGAGAAGTACTACAGTGCCATAGCTTGTCTGAAGAACTTACAGATGAAGGTCAGCCTTAATAGCTGCTGAGCAATGAGTGGTCCTCATTAATTACCTAGACTGTGAATCTGTTCTGCCAGTTTCAAAATGAACCAAAATTATTTCTACACTTATAGTCTGACACACTCTGTGTTTTAAAGTGAAGCATGACATTGCATTAATGTGCATGATCCTCCGGGGTTTTCAGTGTCTCAGAGTGGCTCTATTCTCAGTAAATGCAGTAAACTCCATCTCTGCATATGCTGAAAGTTTGGGAACGCAATGTGCGTCAGGTTCACTTTATTTTTACATATTTGCATAAATTCTAATGTTTTGTTGACAGCTGTTTACAGCAGTTCACTGGATTTGTAATTAAGTATTTGTATACCTGCTGTCACAGAAACTTAAGAGGTCTCCCTGGAGTTTTCTGCCAAAATAAGAATGGTGCCGGTTTTAAAGCTTGCAAGTGAAGAAATGAAGACATATATACTGTGATTTTACAACTGTTAAGTAAAGTAATTAATATATTACTATTAAATATGAATTTTTACATTGCAGTTGTATTACAGTAGTAGTATATAATTTTATACAATTATCATTGTTATCATCTCTAATATCAAAATAATATTATTTTCACATTGTTTGGTTTTCTAAAAAGACCAGTGTGAATGTAATGTGGACTGAGAAACTATCACTTAAAAGAGTCCTCTTTAAAGTCCAGGTACAAATCATTACAAAGTTCATGCTTGGGTTGCCAGATGTCAAGAGTTCAGATCCCCCAATCAGAGCTTTTCTCTTAAATCAGGGCTGTCCAAACTCGGTCCTGGAGGGCCGGTGTCCTGCAGAGTTTAGCTCCAACCCTAATTAAACTAACCTGAACCAGCTAATCAAGCTCTTACTAGGCATAGAAACTTCCAGTCAGGTGTGTTGAGGCAAGTTGGAGCTAAACTCTGCAGGACACCGGCCCTCCAGGACCGAGTTTGGACAGCCCTGTCTTAAATAGATCAATTTTCCTCCCAGTGTTTTACTTAATCTCCCAAAGTGGCAACCATGTGCACTTGCACTCTGGCCTGCAAAAAAGCACTAATGATCTGTAAACACAGACAAACATGTATATTGGAGTTAAGGAATCTCCATTGAGATATTCTGCTCAGATGAAAGTGTCATATAGCCAGTCTGCTTTCCTCTACAAAGCCACTTGTGCTGTTTGCTGAGACTGAATTTGTGAGCAAACTTTCTCATTGACAAATAAATCCAAACATGAATCTTGCATTTGTTTGTAATTGTGGTAACTGAATAAATGCATTTAGACAACCTCTGTGCTACAATTCAAGGTTGTCAATAGCAAAATAGTCAAATAATTTGGAAGTAATATTTTGCTTTTGAGAGTTTTCATCATTTAGAGCGTTAATGTATACAATAAGGCAGGAAATTAGATGGGGTAAAAATAAACCCTGCATATGAGCTGACATTCCCTTGACTTGTGATTATTATTCATATCGTGATGAATAATCATGATTATAATTTCAGCAAAGAAAATTGTTATTTTCAGTTTAACCATTGTGCAGCCCTAGTCAAAAGTGTATTCAAGGTTGGAAATTTTACTTTAAACATATATTCTCTGTTTATAGGAGCGTCCGGGTGATGACCATTGGATCAAACTAGATCTCATGATCACTCCTCTCCTCCTCAACTATTGCCAGTGCAAGAATCTTTTGGGCCAGTACTATGAGGTTTTGGAGCACTGCTCTTCTATCATCAACAAGTATGATGGTAAATATCAAAACTACCCCCCAAGCATAAATTCTTTAAGGGTTCCGTGGGTCCTTAAAAAGTCTTAAATTTCCACTGGGTACAGTACCTGGTACTTTTTTTAAGTACCACCTCAGTTGAGGTTCCAAGCGAACCGCACCGTTACCAAAACGTGACGTGTAAACTCTGCTGATCACGGATTGGCCGGAGAGAATCGTCACTACCTGCGTCACTGAACTTGCAACAAAAAAAACACAACAGAACCGCTAGATTTAAATCAGCACAGCCAGCGAAGGATCAGACGCAACTGTTTTGAACGAGCGCACCTTTCTTTTTAACAACCAAAAAAGTTGCTGTTTCGTTGTCTGTTGAAGACGTACAGACGTTCCTCTCGTTGATAGTGGAGCGGATCCAGCGAGAGCTTGATGGGGCGACGCGGAATGAAAAAGTTAAGTTGGGGGTAACTTTGACAACTTTTCAGATTTTTTTAATTATAAAAAACCTTTATAATCTATAACATTAAACTTATTTCATGTTTCCTCTAAACCATATGTTTTTAGGTATCAAGATCAAAGGCACCCTGTGTTATATTTATAAACTTTTATTTTTTCCTGTGTAATCTTTTTTTTAATTTTGTATTATAACAATACATTCAATTAGTATAATAAGACACAATCAGGAATCAGGAATTACCAATCAAATGAAATCAATATAAAAAAATTAATCTTTGCACTACAAATGTGGCACAGAAGAACACAAAAGTGGCATTTAGGTATATTTACAGACTGCGTTTAATGAGGCTCAGAGGTAGCATAAAAGCATTTAAATTCATAATTTTATGTGATGAATGTTTTAAAGTAAGTTCTGAATATAGAAATATTAAATTATTTAAATAGGTGG